CGGACTCATGACAACGGACTCCAATCACAACACGTCGAGATCCAAACGGGAGTGCGAACACTCAACCCCAAACCAACTGTGTCTAATCACCAAATCGGCTGCATCAAAACTGACTGCCTACGTATCCTCTCTAAGGAATCAAGCCTTCACGTAGTTCACCCAATGGCCTCCAAAGGCCCTCAGTCCAAACTGCGGCTGATAGCATCATCAATGACCCCAAACTGAAGCGATCCAAACACCTCCACCTGAGATAAAACAATGGCCGTATCCAAGCTATATCCACCAGCTGCACTCGGATCTACCAACTCGTCATCTGCATCCTGAACAATCTGATCCCCAAACTGTGTCACCTCAACCGGAATCCCAACTAATGCAAAATGATCTGGAGTATGTGGAATAAGCTCCACCCGATGTGGAGTAGCATCAACCTCCACCTGCTGCGGTATCCCTCTGATCTGATCAATACTCTCTACCTGCCAAGAGTCCAAAGTGACAAACCTGCTCAGACCAAACTCAGAAGCTCCCAACTGATAGTCGAATGATCTCCTGAATTCCAAATGCGCAATCGGATCCAATATCACATCAACGATGTAACCAAGTGTTGGGTAGCCAAATATCCGATGCCGACCAAAATCAGAAACAGCTTCACCAGATCTAACAACTCTACACGCAGCAGTCGGCAACCTCATAAGATAGCCCAATCGTGTCGAAGCCCGAATACCAAAACCACTGCTCGACAACCAACGCCGATCCTCCTCCAGAAAAGAACGGCTCACTAAATCCGCCATCTCATTACATCGCCCCACTGTCTCCTCTCCTCTGAAGTGTCTCCAACTGCCATGAGCTCGGCACCAATGCAAGAAAGAACCCCTACTAGAACTAGTACGACGGGTAACCTCTCTGGCCATACACCTCCTCCAACTGTTGCGGACTACTAGGGCTTTATACCAACGAGACTTGGTTGCAACCCAAATATGCCTAGTACAATCCCCAACATAGGAAACAAAATAACGATTACCTCCCAATGATGCATACATGGAAGGCCCCCCAATGCCTGACTGAACACCTCCAATAAGACCCCTCGATTGGTGGATAGAAGTGCTGAACTCCACCTCGATCTCCTCGCTCATCCCAATGTGCTCACAGGACTTCAATCTGCAGGTCATAGCACTCCTCAACAATCTGTGCACGGCATAACCAATAATATATCCCAGCACCAAACAATACCACATTCTAGCCAAAGAAGTCGTCAGCGCTCTATCAATCACCGTGCTCCCGAGCAGATAATACAAGTTACTCCTCCTGACGCCCTTCATCACAATCATGGACCCCGATATGACCTTCAAGTGAGAATCCGCCAAGGTCACCCTATAGCCTGCTGCCTCCAATACCCCAAGTGAAATGATGTTCTTCCTCAGTTGAGGAACAAACCTCACATCAACCAATTCCCGAATCATCCCGTCACTCGTCTGAATACGAACGGTACCAATACCACCAATAGGGCATCTGTGATCATTACCCATAAGAACAACATCCCCTCTTTCCAACTCCTGAAAGCTAGAGAACCAATCCCTCCTACACCTGAACCCACCATCCACTCGGTGGAGTCGGCAACACCAACTGACGGAAGAGCTGGGCATGAATAGCCTGAAGAATCTGAATCTGAAATGTCACCACTAGCCTTGGCAACATTCACCTCTGAAGCTTGAACGGCTTTCCCCTTATTCTTCACGGCTTACAATTTTGGGCATTCAGCTTTCCAATGTCCATCTTCTCTACAAAAGACACACTGATTCCTACCAACTGTAGGATGCCCCCCTCTAGACTGCGACCTCCTACCACGGTTTGGACTTCTAACTCTTGCAACCAATATCCCCGCAACCGGCTCAATGGAAGTCTCCTTGTCCTTCTTTCGAAGTTGATAGTTCACAAGGGCTGCGGTGACCTCACTATACGAAAGAGATACCTTCCTATTAATAAGAGTGAGGACGAAGGTCTCATATTCCTCGTCGGGAAAGGAACTCAATAACAACAATGTCTTGTCCTCGTCTTCAACTATAACATCTACATTCGCCAACTCTGCAAGTAGCTTCGTGTAGTGGTTCATGTGATCACTTATGGATGTCCCCTTTTTCAATTGGAAGCGATAAAGCCTCCTCTTCAAATGCAAGTGATTTTTGACTCCCAAATCTTCTTCGCAGAAGTCTCATTCATCACATCATACTTTAGATCTTGAGTGAGGCAAGACCTAATTACACCACACGCCGTTCTATTCATTTTATTCCAAACCTTATCATCAATTTTGGCCGGTTTCCCATCCAACTCCAACGTATCTTCTAGATTTTGCGCATTTAGCGCATCCATGACTTCACATCGCCAAAGTCCAAAATTATTTGTGCCATTGAACTTTTCCACATCTATTTTCATAGAATGTATATTCAAACTTTGGACGGCCTTTACACTAGAAGAACACTACCCACTTTTATCTTTTTCGGCCATATATCTCAAAGCACCCAATAAACAATTGTGGAACAAATAGGAAATAGATCCAAAAATTGACCAAAGATAGAATTTTTACCACAAAGATTCCACATTTATCACCAATCGAAGCTCTAGAGAAACTTCTCAACTGATCTACCCCTCCAAAAAGCCCAAGCGTTGCCTGGAGCTCTGATACCAATTGTTGGGGAGAAACCCCTATGCCGAGATCCAACCAAATAGTTGAAAGAGATAAACTAACACACCAACAAGAGCACAAACACAATCAACACCAGATTTTACGTGGTTCGGCGAGATGCATACGTCCACGGGGCAAGGAGGGGGGAGTTCTCACTATTAGAAATCAAGGGGATACAACTAGGGTTACAAATCTCTCATAAACCCTCAACAAATCAACTCTTGATCTCACCAATTGCTCCTAGAATAGAAGCCCAAAGAAAACTCCTTTCAACAGCTCAAAACACTTGCCTTACAAACCCCAGAATCGAGTTTGGGTATTTATAGAAAACCCAAACGAAACGGGTCTGAAAACAGACCCAGCCCAAAACCGCTTCGGCGGTCGACCGCGACGGTCGACCGCCCACAGAACAGAAACTTCTGCGGTCGACCGTCGCGGTCGACCGCCACCAATCCTGACGCCCAGTAAGTCTCGTGCACGAATGTGGTCGACTGCCCCGGTCGACCGCCAAGCTGTAAACCTAATTTTGAGCCTTCTGAGCCTGCCAATCTCCTACAATATTTTTCTTTTATCTCTTCCACATCATACTCCTTTACCTCTCCCTCATGTGGCATTATAGCCTACATAAATGACAAAGTTTCTTTGAAAAATGCCTCACAAATCTGAAAATATGATAGATAGAGGGGGACAGGTGATATGTCCCCCTCTGATTGCATAATGAGTTTGGATTTCAAAATTTCCCTTTTTTGTCTTTACTAGTATGCTATACGTGCGTTGCACGTGTTGCATATTAAGAAACTACAAGAGTCAAAATTCATAATGTTTTCATAATTATGCATTGAATTTATACACAATACACAAGATGAATATCAATTAAACATTATCTCAGAGGACTTAGAATATTGTCCATATAAAAGGAAGCTAATCAACCATATATATGGTGCGTGTGATAAAATTGACCGCACAATCAAGAAAAGGTTAAGTGCTGCAAGTAACTAATATTCGACATCACATTACAAGTTCACTGGGAAAAGGAAGGAAAAGAGAAGCATAAAAGAATATGCCAAGTCACAAGTTCACTGAAGATAAGGCACATGTTATATGCAGAAACAGAACTTGAAAACCATAAGCAGCTGATCACAAACTGAGAAAATGTCTTAACATAACACGCAAGGGCAGAAACTGAGATATCGATCACATGCTCTTAATCTTGTAGCAATATCTGAGTGAGCTGGAAACAAAAAAAGTGAGTGCAAGAAGTGGCAGGTATCAACTTTGAATGTGTGTGAAGCTTGATGGATCATCTAGAATTACAATTCAACAGACATGAATGAAAAGGTGAGGTACTAATTTATTTCCCTTGATACAAAAAAGAGCATGAACACGCATAAGCACCATGCTTTAAATAGCTGAAATGGAAAAAAATGGCTAGCTCAAATCAGATGGCATCTCACAAGATAAAAATAGAATCTGAAACAACATCAAAGAAAACCACTGAGCATCCAGATAGAATAGTAGTCTCCTTTCTTTGATTTCAATAACTTAAAAAGAGTAGTAGTCTCCTTTCCATTCACTTCAACCTACAAAAAAAAGTGTCAGTCACATATAGTTACATGAAATTTTGTTCTAGAACAATGGCAACATAGTGAAAATTTATGTTGTATATTTGCTAAGCGCAAGGGAGATCTATAACTAAGCCAAAATTTAAAGCTAATAATCATGTCGTGTGAAAATTAACACTATATTTTCTTTTTCCAATCACGCTACCCATCGAAAGCCAAATCTAGTTAGTTTGAAGATATTCAAATTTAGAATTCCTTTACTCAAAATCACAAACTATGCGTTTTGAGAAATCAATAAGCCTATAAGATACTGTATGCATACCTATATTTTAAGATACTGAATATAAACTGACTGTAAGTTGATAGTAGCAAATTCGAACTCCATATCTATGCAAAGCAAAAATAGAGGATAATGAATAATATAGTTGAGAATTATATCTCATATATGTACTCCATTGTTTAATTTAGCACATATAAAGTGGGCAGGCGAAGAGAATTGTATGTAAAGGGACTATTTGAAAAATTTGATATCCAACAGTTTAAGAAGTTGAATCAAATTTAACAAAAGCAATGTAAAAAATATTACTGATGAATGGTGTCACAATAAACCTATTCACAATGTGATTGCTAACACAATTTCTCTTATTAACACATTTTGACACTCATAAAATATGTAACCTTGATCTTCACTGATAAATAGAGCCCATTGAAAGATAGAATACATGAAGTCCAAGTGCTCATTTCCTTTCACCTGGATGCAGTCCCATCCCCATTACCTGATGGTCCATATATCCTGGCTTACGATGTTTGATTGCTGCCGTTGGAGTATCTGTTGAACTCATTCGAGATAAACCAGATTCCTAAATAGATACATAAAAATCTCCATTTATCTTATGAGCAAAGAAAATATTGTACAAACTACAGACTAAGAATGTACCATGGTTTCCTGATACTCTACCCCAAGATAGCCAGTACTGTAGCTGTGAGAAATCTATTGTCCAAAAGAAAGTAGTATGCAACAGTGCCCTATATAGACCCAAAGAAAATAAGATATGGTTACCGAAAGAATTGGCTATGATAGTTTTAGTTCATGGGATTTCAGGAATACCTCATTTTGTCTTCTATTGTGAAGTGATTCAACTAAGTGGTTTTTCTCAAACCCCATTTTAACTACCTCCTGAAGAATTTCCTCATCAATCTGCAAAGAAGAGCAAAGCGCCAGGACCATAAAGTCAGGCACATGACAATTTAGCAGCATAGCACTACAGAAGTAAAAAAGAAATCATATTGCAAGGGATTTGAACATATCTGATTTGATAATCTCAATCACTTAAGTGTAAGTGAAGAGCATTTAAATGTGTAACTTAATGATCTCAATTTTCTATTCTGCTGGTCATGAACAGAAAATGAAAGAATAGGTGCTGAAAGTAATATTGAAAAGAAGTGATGTTAGAGCTCTGTGCTGCCTACACAAAAATTTCATATATGTAAAATTTTATCCATGATCAGTTTTCTAATACCAATATGTGTCGTTTACCCTAATGAAGATCAATGCTAACATTTGCCAGAAACTATGTAATATAAACAACAAAATATCACTTGGGCCAACAGCTTGAGAACAATTTATCTTCTTAGCTTGTTGCATTGTATCTGGTGGTGGCACAACCAGATAGCGAAGAAGACGAGCTTGAAACCATGGATGTTCACAGATTTCACGAAGAGTCATTCGCTTCATAGGGTCAACAACAAACATCCTAGGTATCAAATCCCTTGCTAGAGCAGATAAATGGCTTGGAAGAGTATATATCCCACCCTGCACAACCAAATACCCCAAAATTCAGAGGTGTACTTTTACCTATATCAACAAAAAAGTTGACGTAAGAACAGGATATTTTCTTACCTTTATTTTATGAAACAGATTAGGGATGTTTTCATCATCAAAGGGAAGTGTGTTACAGAGAAGAGCATAAAGAATGACACCACAACTCCATACATCAACCTCTGGATCAGCATATAGTTTACCTGAGATAACCTACACTTAGGGGTGGTAATTAAGCATCCATCATATACTTGTAAATATAACAAGGTGCATGGTCTTTTGGTATAATCCTACCTCCGGAGCAGCATAGTTGGGACTTCCACATAGATTTCTCTAAGAAGTTTACACAATTTTTACCGAAAGGTGATATCTGAATTCACTTCAACAGAAATATAATCTATTACAATTTTTGTGAATAGGACTAACATAATCTATGTTATATACTCTTTTACTTGAGTACAACATTTTCTAATGAAAATCGGCCAAGCTTGAATAAACCTTCAAGTTTGTTTAGACGCTCAAAGAAACATGTACGTCCAGCTTGTTTAAGGACCTTAAAAGTGGCTACATTCGGGTTTGTACACAGTGTCTGCATGTCCACCCCAATTCTCCACCTAGTCAAAAGGATCACAAAGGGATTCTCATTCAGCCACCCAGCCCCATTCTTAGAGAGTAAAACAAAAGCTAGATAGCGACCTAAGAAATAGTCTTCTTCCCTCAATTTCAAGTATAATATTCAACAAAATGGGGAAGTATGAAATATTCACCACGACCCACCCCTCAAAAAAATGTCTTCTATTGGATTTTCCTTTACCTTTTCACTCTATCCTTTAAGATTGTCATCTGTATGTAAGAACATCTAGACATAATTCATATCATAGTCCATTTTTCGGGACAATTTTATCTGGAACCTCAAATAAATTATAAAATAAGCTCATCCATGGGGAAAACACAATCAAAATGGAGATCATCATCTATCAGCATGCTTAAAGGTCGTCACAACCAATACATGAAAGAAGAATTTTCAATTTCATCAAAATATTAGTTCCACTCAAATTCTCATTGTTTGTAAGATTTTCCGTTTCTCATCCCTTCAATTTGTACATGACAGAAAGAGATTACAAATCGACGATCTCTTCAAATCAAGACGTGGAAGTCCTCCCTGCGTACCATCGTCAAGGCACAACACCAATCCAACCACCTACGCAGTTTCAACCGCTACAAACACGAATGCAGCTTCTTATGTGAGATGATTGATCTTGATGGCTGCGACAACAACATGACTAATATTATATTAGCAACTATTAGAGATGCTGATGAGCAGTGTAATGATGTTCGACGCACTGAGGAGCACCTGGTTAAACCATGCAAAGAAATCTTAGTGGAGATCGTGACCTGCAGTTGATAGAGCGTTGTTGAGATGCCTTAATTGTCACAAATGGCCTGAATAAGACCCTCTCTACTGGTCATTGGTGTCATCCATATATAAAGACAGAGAAGCTCAAACGCAGCTCCAATCGCTGCCAATCACAGCTCCAACGCAGCTCATCATCGCTGCCCAACGCAGCTCATCATCACTGTCAAACGCAACTCCAATCGCTGCCCAACGCAGCTCATCATCGCTACCCAACGCAGCTCATCATCACTGTCAAACGCAACTCCAATCGCTACCCAACGCAGCTCATCATCGCTGCCAATCACAGGTCAAACGCAGCTCATCATCACTGTCAAACGCAACTCCAATCGCTGCCCAACGCAGCTCATCATCGCTGCCCAACGCAGCTCAGCTCGAACGCAGCTCCAATCGCTGCCAAGCACAGCTCGAACGCAGCTCCAATCGCTGCCAAGCACAGCTCGAACGCAGCTCCATCGCTGCCCAACGCAGCTTATCAATCGCTGCCCAACGCAGCCCGTCAGTCGCTGCCAAACGCAGCTCAATCACCGCCAGAACGCAGGTCAAGGTTCTGACTCATTCAAACGTGATCGTAACAACTTCGAAGCTGTTCTTCACCCACGATTTGAGGAGTGGCTTTAGTGGGTTGTTACACCCGACTAATGGGGTAACTAAACCCCCATTTAGGCGCGGATTATGGGGGCAGTTACACCCCTAATCCCCCTATAAATATCAACAAACTCAACAGAGTAAGGGGGATCTCTTTTTGGATTGCTTAGATCGGATTTTTGATAATCAGATCGAGGGACGAGATATCATTGGAGATCGGATTTTCTGGAGAGGATCTTAGAGAGAGAGTTGGAGAATTAACTCTTTACACAGTCTGGGGAATCAACATCCATTGAGAATTCCAGATCTTCGAATACTTGGCCTATTAACCGAATCATTTTCGGTTCAAACAACTCTTTTTATCAGAGTTTGTTACTCGTTCTGAATCACAAAACTCGTCAAGAGTTATCAACCAGACAAGACAGTTGTTCCAGTGAGTATAGATATTCGGATCGTCAACGAGAAGCAAACTCGACGCAAGCATTCGAGGGAGACATCTCATCGCTACTAAGAAGGACCCAGAATTAAACAAAGGAGAGAATCCAGATCATTCTCTTCTCTTTTGTAATCAGGAAATCCAATTGTAATTTAGAGTGAAGAGAGTTGTAATCATTCTTTTTCTAAGCAGTTAGAGAGAATAAAATCAAATACAGTTCTTTCATTCATTTTTCTTATTACAAATTTTCCACCAAACAAAAGATTTCTGTAGGCTGTCTAAAAATAATAATAGATAGCTGATTCCCCATGAAACACCGATGATGGAAGTTATAATCTGACGACTTCCAGAAGGCTACAATTTGAAGACTTTTACATATCAAAGAGCTAAAGCAAAGATTACAAAACGACGATCTGCAGCAACGCTCTGACAGAAAGAGATTACAAATCGACGATCTCTTCAAATCAAGACGTGGAAGTCCTCCCTGCGTACCATCGTCAAGGCACAACACCAATCCAACCACCTACGCAGTTTCAACCGCTGCAAACACGAATGCAGCTTCTTATGTGAGATGATTGATCTTGATGGCTGCGACAACAACATGACTAATATTATATTAGCAACTATTAGAGATGCTGATGAGCAGTGTAATGATGTTCGACGCACTGAGGAGCACCTGGTTAAACCATGCAAAGAAATCTTAGTGGAGATCGTGACCTGCAGTTGATAGAGCGTTGTTGAGATGCCTTAATTGTCACAAATGGCCTGAATAAGACCCTCTCTACTGGTCATTGGTGTCATCCATATATAAAGACAGAGAAGCTCAAACGCAACTCCAATCGCTACCAATCACAGGTCAAACGCAGATCATCATCGCTGCCCAACGCAGCTCATCATCGCTGCCCAACACAGCTCATCATCACTGTCAAACACAACTCCAATCGCTGCCCAACGCAGCTCATCATCGCTGCCCAACGCATCTCATCATCACTGTCAAACGCAACTCCAATCGCTACCCAACGCAGCTCATCATCGCTGCCAATCACAGGTCAAACGCAGCTCATCATCACTGTCAAACGCAACTCCAATCGCTGCCCAACGCAGCTCATCATCGCTACCAATCACAGGTCAAACACAGCTCATCATCGCTGCCCAACGCAGCTCCAACCAACATCGAACGCAGCTCTATACTGCTACCAAACGCACCTTCAAACATCGAAGAACGCAGCTCAATATCGCTGCAGAACGCACCTCCAGATGCTGCGTTCAAACACAGAATTTAGGCCAGAACGCATGTCAAAGTTCTGACCTGCTCAAACACGATCCAGGCAGTTTCGAAAATCGCTCTTCACCCACGATTTGAGGAGTGGCTTACGTGGGTTGTTACACCCGATTAATAGGGTAACTAAACCCCCATTTAGGTGCGGATTATGGGGGCAGTTACACCCCTAATCCCCCTATAAATATCAACAAACTCAACAGAATAAAGGGGATCTCTTTTTGTATTGCTTAGATCGGATTTTTGATAATCAGATCGAGGGTTGGACTTTGGAGATCGGATCTTTCAGAATCAGGCTGGAGAGGATCTTAGAGAGAGAGTTGAAGAATTAACTCTTTACACAGTCTGGGGAATCAACATCCATTGAGGGATCTAGACGTTAGATACTTGGCTTATTAACCGAATCATTTTCGGTTCAAACAACTCTTTTTATCAGAGTTTGTTACTCGTTCTGAATCACAAAACTCGTCAAGAGTTATCAACCAGACAAGACAGTTGTTCCAGTGAGCATAGATATTCGGATCGTCAACGAGAAGCAAACTCGACGCAAGTATTCGAGGGAGACATCTCATCGCTACTAAGAAGGACCCAGAATTAAACAAAGGAGAGAATCCAGATCATTCTCTTCTCTTTTGTAATCAGGAAATCCAATTGTAATCGAGAGTGAAGAGAGTTGTAATCATTCTTTTTCTAAGCAGTTAGAGAGAATAAAATCAAATACAGTTCTTTCATTCATTTTTCTTTTTATAAATTTTCCACCAAACAAAAGATGGCGACTCCGCTGGGGACTAGCTTCTCTGATGAGGAAGTGGTGGCGCAATCCGACGTTCACCTCACTGGAACCACAGTCGAAACTCTTGTCGTGGAGTTTGACCAAGCCAAGTATGAGGAGGTCCTCTCCTCTGGATCGCTTAGCCCTAAATCCAGGCGTGATACCCACAAGATCTCTAAGGAGGTCGTAATTACTGCTGAAATGCCAAAGAAAGCCCTCTCCTTTGGCCAAAGCCTCAAACTTGCTCTGCAAGCTGAAGATCCCGCACCTATTTCGACACAGCGTGTACTGGGTTATAAGAGGCCTATGACAGAGAAAGGCCTAATCAATGTCGACAACGCTACTGCTAAGACTTTGAAACAAGCTAAGAAAAACGCCGCTCGAAGACGGAGAAGATCCATCCGACGAGCACATCTCCGAGAAAATCAATCCCTGATCCAACGCAAGGATTATGTTTCTGAAGAACTGCCCAAACATTGCGTTCATACTCCAGAACGCACTCTTCGAGGTAATGAATCCAACTATGAACCTCGGGTGGTTCAGCTCAAACGCGACCCTCAGTGGTGCGTTGTCCAATCAAAACATTACCCCGCTAAGGGAAAACAGACGCCTCATGAGTGCGTCCAAACAAAACAAGACCTGGAGGGGTCTGTTTCATCGACTAAACGTAGGCCGAGGCCTAGTGTTTATAAATCACAACGCGACCCTCGCACTTCGCTTCCCGAATACGATGTGGTCCGCCAAGTTAAAAAGAATCGAAGTGGACTCAAGATTCACGTCCACCAAGAACCAGTCTCGCCCCCTCAGAAACAGAGGGTCCTATCTCCGATGAAGAATCAATCTCAAAGCCCCGACTTGCGAGAATTACTCTCTAGAAGAAAACCAATACAACAGGCGAATCATTCCTTCCATTGTGAG